GAGGCGGAAAATCAGTTCACAGACCATGATCATAAGATAGCGCGAATAGAAAATAGAATTTAGAAAATAGACATTGCATGTGAACGAAGCCTTAAAGAACCGTTGAACTGTGTCGTCGGTTAAAACGTAAAAGCAGAAGGAACGGGCCGTAAAAGAACCCGGGCCGAAGATGTTCATTTGCAAAAAGTCAGAAAGAAGAAATCTACGCCTGATATAGGCCTACCTGCTTGGCAATGCAGCAGGTAAAAACGAAAAAAAATATTACTGAGGATGAACTGAGTTGGTGATACTTAGGATAAATCGAGTTGGTGATAAGCAATGCCCGCCGTATGAATACAAAAACTAAACATTTGTCCAAAACTCGGCCTTAGCTTTTTGGGGTAAACTTATTGACAGCCGACACAACAAACGTATCACCAAAGGTTGCTGTTAATAAGATAGCAAATCAAAGCACACTGGACTTCTTATGCCGATACAATGATTTCTGCCCCTCCCCGGCTTCCTTCTTGTTGATATAAGGTCAATTTAATTGAAATCAAAATGTTGCGCTTCGCATTATCAGCTGAAGCCCTATAAACGAAGGCTACTTAGTTGTTTATTTTATAGTAGAAACAAATAGGGTAATCGCAGTGTATACACTACGGGAGGCCGTTCAGGGAATAATCTAAGAGTAACCTCGCTCTTCCTAATACTCACTAATGCTTTATACATACAGTGCTAATCTCAAACCCTTATACACAGAGCATTAATCTCAAAACCTCGGCACTGAAGCCAAGGTCATACGTCCTCAGCACAATCCGTGACACTGGGTAAACAGAATGCTTTCAATGAACCAACTCGGAATGACCAGGAATTCCAGTTCCTCTGACCAGCGCACACGTGTAGGCAGACTGGACAGCACCCGCAATAAATTACGGAGCAGATCAAACTGCTGCGTGCTACGTCCGAATACCTTTCAATGGAATCCATTTTCCTCCCCAACCCCTTAAAAAAGGTACTAGAAAGCTTTGTTGTCTGATAATTTTGCCCCTTCAATATGCTTTAAACCCGTATCAAAACAAAGAAGTGCAAAGTTCATACACTGTAATGTTTATTATACACTATGAAATTCCGGCTTCCAAATTCCCCTCCACGGTAGCAATAATAGTCCCGTGTTCGTAAAACGACCACAGCACGTGTCATGAGATAGATGACAAAATGATAATATTATAATAATATTATATATTAATTACATAAAATACAACAAGACGCAACTGTTCGTGAATCGGTGTAAACATTGAAGATAAGATGCCAAAGGTGTCTTTCTCTTTTTCCTTTCAGTGTCAACTGTACTGGGCCCACCTCAAGTTTAACATAAGGATTGCCCCAAGTTCTCGTGAAATTTGTTAAAAATAAATCTGAAAATAACCTCCTAAACAATGTGTGTTAAGTAAGCAACAGACACTCCATATTTAGTATAAAATAAAAGAGCAATGAAACTGTTTTAAAACAAATGTCCCACGCAAAAAAAAAAAAAAGTCGGTACCAAGAGAAATGTCTTTCTGAATGACCAAACCATTGCACTGTTTCAAATCCAATAGTTTGTAACGGAGTGAGATCAACTGTTCCCATATATATATATATACACACACACACAAACCCATATTTCCAGCAGAAAAAAATGTGCATTTCACCGGACTTTCATTTTGTTGGGCACAGTGGTCTTTATAGCTTGGCAAAACAAGTGTGTCCTACAGTTGAAGTATCATCTCCCTCATATGTTAATCCAATTGAGAGCTCCATTTAACAAAACGACAAGCAGCATCTTATGAGGAAATGAACCTGTTGTTGACACCTCTTTGAGCCGATACAGTATGGTCTTGAGAACATGTTTTTCATCATAGTAAAAGAAACCTTCAGTGTCTGGCGATGATCAAATATATAAATAAAAAATAATTCAAAATACAGTGCCTGCATTTATTCCCATCTTCTTCCATTTTGCTTCCATTATAGCATGCACTGTTGAACGATTGAAATCAGTACCATTGTTAAAATAAATATATAAAAAGGGCAGTTGCTCAGGAATTCCTCATATTAAGCTTCGATTGTGAATGTCTTAAATTTTCTGTTCCTGAGACATCTGAAAAACAGAAAAGAAAACTTGTTTCAGGATCAAATGAAATTAAATATAGTAAGCTGTAAAGAAATAGAGTATGGTAAGGCAGAACTACACTATAAACATGTTTAAAATATGTTCGATAGCTCAGTAGAAGAAAAAACTAATAAACTCCAAAATTCAAATTTTAATAAATAGACAGACAAAAAGTAAAAAATTTTGTTGTTTGAATCTCACTGCCAGGATAAACTTGGTAAAGTGATTTTTTTTCAAAACTATATTTGTTTATACTTGGTTTTAAAGCATAAGGATGAAGCTAGTTACTAAATCACTTGAACATCAGGGTTCAGCACTGTAAAATTTCAGAAAAAATAAATGCTAGGCATAAGATTTAAAACTCTTCACCTTTTTAAGCCAAGTTCATCCAGTGATTCAACACTAAACTTATTTGACTAAAATGATATTACTAGTGATTCTGCTCAAGTTACTTTATCTTGGCATGAGCCCAAGTAGTATTTATGAGGCAATTTATATGGGACCATCCAGAAGCGTTTGTCCCTAACACAGTCTGGAACTGTTAGTCCCTACCTTGGGCCAGTATTGCACAGATGTCGTGGAGATCTAGGCCAAGTAACTGTAGGTGTCTTTTTGTCCCTCCACCCTTTCCAAGTATTCCTTCTCAATGAGGATGTCTATACATTTCTGCAATAGAGGTTGATGGCAAAATCAAGTTATTATACCAAGCATTTTCTGGTGAAAAAAAAAAAAAAAAATTGCACCATACTTTTATTTCTATATCGTACATTAAATGCACAAAACAATAACAATCACATGTCGATGAAAACTTACTGGTCCAATTTTTTCAAATGTCTTTTACGTAAGCCTTAGAAACTTGTTCTTTTGTACTTTCCTATTCACTTATTGCTATTTTGTTGAACACGTCGTGGGACAAAAATAAATACATAACTTCACAACTAAAGCAAATAAATGTCATACTTAAATTAAAGAAAAGTTACCTTAATCACTGGCACTCTGGGTTTAAAACGAGAGGACAGTTGGCTTAACACTTCTGCTAGCAACTGCTGATGTTTTAACACTTTACGCATCTTCATAATACGCACAATGGCAGCCTGTGAATGCAAGGCAAAATATCACTGTAAACTACACAAATATTAACTTTTTAAATTTTCACTCAGTCAAATTAACTTCCTCTGGGAAGTACTTCAGATCTACGCAAAGGCTTGGTGTGCATATAATGCTGAAATGTTTTAGGAAAATATAGAATAATCAGCGACCTTTCAAGAATTTCTGCATACTTATGCAATTTCTCAAGTTTCTCAGTTTTAAAATGTCCATAAGGCAAATTATCTTCTTCTTTGTTAAGTTCTAAAACTGAACATAAACTCAACAATACTCTTACAAGTCTGTTATACAAAAACACTGTTAACATACTCATAAATGACACATCACAGAGTTGCTGGTCGTCGTTAATGTCACACATAACCCAGCACATCCAATTAAATCTCGATTAAGTAATTTTTTTTTTAGCTGCAAGAGAATTTTCATAAATCTCTCCGAAAGTTAAAAGTACATGATCTATGTAACAGCAGGTGAAGCAATGAATCCCCATGCAAACCGGACTTAACTACATTCAGTCCACCATGTTTTTTATAATTCAATAAGAAGTAGTACCACACCTGAATAAGTAGTTTTCTGTCCTCCTCGATGTGTTTGTGTGTTGTCTCCTGTTCCTGCTTGACTTCTGTCTTCATAGGAATATTGATCTGGACACGCAGTTTTTTACTGGGAAAAAAAATCACCAGTGTTTAAGTATTTCTTTGTGGTGTCTTTTGTTAGTGAATTTCTGCTTGCTTTTCCACTTCAAAATTATCATTATTTACATGACAACTTCAGCACAAGAAAATAAAAGAAACGCAAAGCAGGAAAACTGGTCTCTCTCTCACACTGACTATTTGAGAGAGAGAGAGAGAGAAACCCCTTTCTCTTACTTTTTATATCCAAGAAATAGAGAACCTTTCTCTTACTTTTTATATCCATGAAATAGGCTGATGGTAGTGGTGGGTTGGAGCTCGGTCTCCTCACTGTCCTGGTCTGTCACCAACAGCTTGGACTTGAGCAATATGGCCAGGACCTGGGTCAGGATATCCTGAAAGGAGGAGAAGGGAGATAAAAACCCAGGAATTCCTATTCAAATGCAGAAAACTCGACATCACCCTATAACCTGTATTAGAGTTCACTTCAGACAAATCTTGTGGAACAGATTGTTTTTATTTATGGAATTAGCGGAATCCTACGATGGGCACTGCATACCTAAGATAGTTTGACTAGAAAAGATAGTTCAGTACCAAAGTGTTCAAGTCCACTGGATATCAAATTGAAAAATGTTTCCTCCTCATTTCTGCAAATGAGGGTGGGGGTTTATGCTCTGAGAAAAAAATCTTGTGACTAAAATATGAGGAAAGCAGTGGTGCACTTTAACGGCATGGAAAGCAAAAGAATACACTATGTTTAACATACAACACTGCCTTACTCACCATTTTTATTTGTGTGCTCTCATGTAGTTGTTGCACTGTAAAACTGTCAGAAGTGTTGTACTGAAGGAGAACTGCCATTTGAAATGTAGAGGCCTGCAAAGTAGAGAACAAAACATAAGGATTGAAATTTTTCCAGTTCATAGCAAATGGAGGGCTCTTCTATTCAGCATGACAGTACTGATGAAAATCCTAAAACCTCATAAATTGTCTTATTCTGTACTATGGATTATAGCCAGCAAAATTGTCAAACTTTTAACATCTGTCTCAAAATTGTCATCGAGCTATCTCAGTATATGCATGAACAATAAGAAATTCAAACAAACTAAACAAAACTTTCTAAGACCAAAAGTAAAACTTTTCTCTTCCTTTTCCTTACTGTTCTACATCTGATAAACAATTCTCATTCTCTTTCTGGTGAATCCCAAACTGCATATTGTAACAATACCACTTGGTCATACCAAGTCGTTCCTACCATTCATCACTTTACAGTTGTACGTCGACAGGAAACTCGAACTGCATTGTGGGGAAAAAAGGAGCAGACATTGGGCGCGAACTCCTGGCGCGAAGGCTCAAACACAAAATAATGTCTACCTGCTGTGCTTCAAGATGCAGAAATGATGGAAGGTATCGAGAAAGGTAATTCCCCGCAAATTCTACAACTGCCAAGTTCAATCAATATGTCAATTCTCGATTTATTGTCAACATAGCCGTTTGGTTTTGCTCTATTTTTTCCCACAATGCAATTCTCACGCATGCGCGCAGCGATTTTGTAAGTATCTGTGAAGTGGTGAATGTTTCCACACCAGATGGACACTTGACCACCTACCTGCAGGGTGTACCTGCTCTTGAAGCAGTTAGTGACCAGTTCTCCCTTGGACATGTTGTAGATCCAGCTCAGCTTGCGTCCACTGTGCTGACTGCTGTAGAATGTGGTGAACCTCTGGTAGCTACGCTCCAGCTGGAGGAAAGAAACAAAATAAGTTGGAGGATTTAAAGACATATAAAGCCTTCTTAAAATGCAGGTTAAATAATTACAAAAGCCTCTACTCATGTAAAACTGACTACTGGGTTGCATTTATTATAGTATTCCTGACTTAAATTGGCTAGGTGAATACTACTCAATTTTTTTTTGTGTTCTCTTTCTCACTCCCCCCTTCCCCCACTGCCCACCTCAATACATAACATTTCCATTTAAAAGATTAAAAGAAAAGAAAAATACATCCTTGCAGAACAAATTATGAAAGACTGCTCAAATTTTTCTCATGGACAACAATGTTCCAACCATCACAGTGTCCTTCATGGTTTGATAAATACCCCCCTATACTCTGGAAACATATAATCAGCCCTGCAAAAATGTCTGATGATCACACTCACCTCTATTGGCAAAGAAAAGGTACAGGATTGTGTGAATGGCCAGGACCCAGAGCTCAGTACCTGAATACTGAAGTCAACTGAAAAAGAGCAGAAATATTCTTTAAATAACATGTCACACTCAAAACAAGGACTCCGTCAAATATTCATATTCAGGGCAGGGTATCAGTCAGGCAACCATCCAGTTGTCCTTTGGACAGCCTTTTTAAATTCTGGACAGCCATCTCTTTCTCTCTCTCTTTTTTTTGTGAATTCAATTCAGTGGGCATAAAGAGTTCTTGACAGCTTGTCTCCGTATTTGTACTCCCTTTTAAGAACCCTGGTTAAACCCCTGCTTTCAGGTAAACACAAATAACTTAATTAATCATGCTAAACCTTAGGGCATTTTAATATGCATGTCACTAATACTCATAAACTCAGTGTGATGAATATAAATCAATGTTCACATCCATTTCAAATTTTCAAGGCCTATCTGTTTATCAAGAGCACAACTTATTTTGATCAAAAGCAAATAATTATCAAAAAGACAAAAGATAACATGGGTAGCAATATAGCATTCATGGACTTACTGTCAAGTGGTTCTCCAGACACCTGCAGATGGCGCTTGAAGTTCTCGTTGAGGTCTTTACTGACCCCGATGTCTTGAAACATGCGCTGGAGTTTGGAGGTGTATTCAAAACCACAGGCTTGCTGTAAAATTGTAGAAGAACCTGCTTAGTGTTTGGTTATGTTGCTCTCAAGGGTAGTTTAAAAGACATATCTTGATAAAAAAATACATGCAACAAGCAATATAAATTTAGATCAAGTGAAATTTAGGAATACAAAATGACAAATAGAAAGCAACTGTGAATCTTAAAAGCTTCATCTTAAGGCTACTATTTTTTTTTACCAAAACTACACTGTGCCAAATTGTTGTACAGCACCAAAAATGAATGAGTTTCTTTAATTTCATTAATTCTTTCGATAAAGGCCATTTTTCATAATGACTACACATTACAAGATTCAGTTTCACAAATAAAAGTGACTGCTTTTAAAAGCTAAAAGTGCATTCCAATCACATCTGCCTCTAAGCCAAGACATCATAAAAGACCTATAATTAAATAACACCCTTCAGTACCTTCAGTTTTGAGATCATGCTGGCCTCCGCATCGTCGCTGGCTGACATGTGATGGACCAGTCTCTTGGCCAGCATCTTGCTGTAGAACTTCTGGAACACGTCCTTGTCCTCTATGTACTTGAACACGATCATCTGAGAAACACGAAGAAAACATGCTGCTTGTACATCAACATTTACCTGGGGCCAGTTTGACAAAGATATCTTTTAACAGAAAATTGATGCAAATTTTTAGGCCTAAATATTGGTCTACTAGTTCAAGATAAATCCATAACAGGCCATAGATATTAGTCTGAAATATTAGCAATGTCATTTTTGTAATGAAAAAAGTGCAATATTTCATTATCTTGAAGACTGTAGGTCAAAGTAGACTAAAATTTTGATCTAAAAAGTATAGACCAACTTCTGGGCTTAAGTTCTTTGGTGAAACAGGCCCGTGAATATTAATACCGTACACCTGGGCACCTTAAAATACTAGGACTGGAGATTTGTTCCTATCCTTTACTGTATTAACAAGGCGACAATTTAAATACAATAATATGTGCTTACACTTGTGAAATCTTCAGACAATGCCCTTTTTGAAACTTCTACACAAAATTTATTACAAACTCAAATGTTTTATATTGCTGACACTTACCACTTGATTTAATGTGTCCTCCAACTCTGCTTCTTCTGGATTCTTTGAGCTGTGAACAAAGTGACAAGTAACAACTTTAGTATATTCATTGTCTATTAGTGACATCAACATACGTTAACAGTTTAATGACCTTCTCCTTCAATTATTCAACTATTTCCAAAATCATTTTATAAATTCAGTTCTTCAATAATTAACAAATGGCACACATGTCAAAGAAGACAAAGAGGCATGCACTCATTTAATGAAGTTTAGTTGGTGTTTGTTTTTCAGGGACTCTCTCTCACCTTTTCTTTAAGAGTAAGTCGCAGTACTTGGCCAGCAGTTCGGGGGACTTACTGGAGGAATTGGCCATCTTTGTCACAGCATTATTGTTGATAAACTTGCCACATGCCTGAATAATAATATAATAACACTAACTGCCAGTGTTTTTTTTTTTTTAATAACATAGGACAATACAACCATAAGCTACAGTCCTAAACAGGCTTAAATCAAGCTCAAAACTGACTTAACACAAAGATGTAATAACATACCTTATCTAAGGCAGCAACAAAGCCTGCGTCATTGTTAAAAGCTGTCATCACCAAGGCATTGTACTTCTTGTGTACATCAAGGATAGTCTGTACGTAAACCTTAGGCTCCTGAAATGGGGAAGACATTGATAAAATTGGGACTAACTTTTTTCTGGCCCATCTTTTATATGAAATTCTAGAATTAAATAAGATCAATGTTGTATGTTGCATATTTTTTAAACCTTTTGACAAAGACTCACAGCTGTGACAAAACCACAAATTTGTACATCGGCTTACATTTTTGTAGGTCAATCACATTCAGCAGTTTCAGCCAATCCAAAATTTTTTTTTTCTTTTGTAAAAATACTTCAAGTCTACTTACATTTAAGGCAGAATCCCCACACCTCTCTATGGCTGCTAGGCCTTGGTTGTGTATATGTGTCTCCAGCAGTCCCTTCAGTTCTCCCAAGCCGTCCGTTATCCTAGACACCAGCTGGTACATTCTGCCCAGATCTGAAGTGAACAAAGGGGGTGGAGTGGGGGATAATTCATGTAGTCAGCAGTAACCAATTTATAAGCCATTTAGAAAAGATAATATTCATCCGAAGTTATAAATCATAAATGAGCAATAACTTATTTATAAACCATTTACAAAAGATTATTGTTATCATCAGTTATGATAAACTTGGAAGAAATGTAGACTTCCAATTAGGCTGTTTAACTACAACTACTTCCACTGTAAAATTTTCTGAAGATAGTGATATATCATTCATCAAGACTCCAATATATAAAGTACTTAAAAAACTACAAAATAAATATAATTATAAATACAACTCACCATCATTTTTGTCAGAGTCCAGCAGATTCTGGAACTCAGAATGAAATATTTCCAGGTGTTTCTCTATCAGCACCTTCTCGCACACACGTGCCAGGACGTCCTGCGTGCTCTCGTGCAAGTACACCTGCACACGTTTTGTCTCCTCTTGGAGTCTGGACTCGGCCTAAAAATGAAAATGAGATGTATCAGTCTTTGTTGGTAAAATATCCATAAGGTGTACTTAACAGCAGGCTTCTGGGTCTATATTACCACAACTTCTTCATACATTTTGTTCATTCTTTTTTTTTCTTCAATTTTTAACCACAATAAGAAACAAGAAACAAGCCTTGAAAATTATCAATTATAAAAGTATAACATCATTACATCATACAGTTATCTAACACAACATTATATCTAAACAACATGGTGCCATACTCCTAGCAATAAATCAAATGCATCATTACGATTCCTTATTATGTTCCCAGTTACTTTTGAGGTCATGCTCTATCAGGAAATCATTTTCTCAGTGTCACTGACCTTACATAATTACCCTCATTATTAACAAAAAAAGTGAGTGTGACATCTGCATCAAGCTGTTAGAACTATTTCCAAGATTTGTAGCTTGCCAAGATTTTCACCGAGGAAGAGAATTACAGATTTCTTCTATATCACATCTGTCAGATCCACAATCATCTTCAGCTGTTACAGACATTACATTCGCACAAAGGGCATCATAACAAGAGCCAACATTTGTTCATGGAATAAAGATGGAAGACTTTTGCTCCTTTACACCACAAACTTCCTGATCTGTGTGTTTTTTCTTTTTTCTTTTTCTTTTTTAAATAACTAAGCTTACAAATCTTTTTTGCACATCATGCCTCTTGGGACACTCTATTTCTCTTTTCATTTTTAAATCTGCAACATTTACACAATACATTAAATTTTTTTTACCTTTTTCATATACTCTGTGACTGGGTTTTGCCGTAAGAACTCTGTGCTTTCTCTAGTATAAAATCGCTCCGTATCGTCCAGGAAGGGGGTCTCAAAGTTCTCCTTATACACTGATAACGTGGGGCCCTTGGCTGTGGGATCTTCTTCATTAAGGCCGAGGGCAACTGGCAGGAAATATAACAATGAAAATTAGGACACATCTAATGAAAATTCATATATAAAATATTTATTTTTTGGTTTCCAACTCGAATGAACAATAAAAAAAAAAAGAAAAAAAAAAAAAAACTTAACAAGTATATTGCATTAAAAAAAGCTGGGACTTAAAAATATGACTAAACAAATGTGGCTAGAACAGTAAGAACTACAGAGCTGACAACTTACTTAAACAAAATTACCACATTTACTCCATTTCCATTTAGACTTGGTGAAGCATTTGACTTCCCAAAACAAAGCTTTATTTACATACTGGAAAATCAATTAAGCTATATAATACCTTCCAAATCAGTAACATACAATCTAAGAAAAAAAAAAGATTAAGACCAACATACCATAACAGTTGATGACACCACTGACTAGCCTTGTGTTAATGGTTTCCCCATGGCGCTCGCGCTCAATGAGTTTCAGGACGGCATTAGTTACTTGTTTGTTCAGAACCTTGAAAAGATGCTCTCTCCATGTCACCAAAGCCAGCTGAAATAGGGAGGTCAATTTTACGTATCATCCTTCCTGGATGTCACCTTGGGAGTTAGGTAATGGAACAAATCTAAAAATATTTCACTAAATAAGTTTTTTAAAATAAAATAAATAACAATCACATTAACATAAAAAAAAATTCACAACCAAAAAATACACACTACAACAAATCACCTTAATCAATTTTCAATTTATTTCTCATTGAGAAGACTAAGAAAGCATTCCCCTGGACATTTTTATTCAACTTGTAGAAAATATTTTGTATTTAAATACACTTCACATTTCATTATATATTTACACACACATCTAACTTACAGAATATATGTCATAAATTCCTTTCCTGCCTTCATCTATTTCCCTCCTGACCCAGTGTCGATTGAGGTAGGCGCAAATACCATCAAGAACCTTACTTGAGAACTGATATTCCTCCCACTGTTTAGTATAGAACTGAAGTACTCCTTCATCCATAAGGCCTTCACCATCCTGAAAGTTGCAGGTTTTAATCAATAGCTGTTGTCACTGTCTTTGTTGTCCAAATATTCCATTTTGATGAACTTACAATCTTATTCTACAGCAAACAAAACCTCTAAGACTTTGGCGTGTTTTCCAGAAATATTTACGTATTAGTAAAACTACACGACATAAGGCACAACCATACCTTCAACAAATTGACTAAATAATTCTTTAAGAATTCCCTAAGTCTCTTGTACAGTTCTAGTCCTACAAACTGTGCTCCGCCCACAGACTGGCCTTTCTTGGACTTGGTGGATGCCCTGCTCCCAGAGGCCTGGTGGACACTGGTACAGTAGTTATACACATGGCTGGCAGACAGTTAAGGCCGACATTTACATCATAGCAGGTTTTACTTTTTTTTTGGTTGTAACAGCACTGTCAATTAACAGAATTTTATTTCTGGGCATCAGGACATTTATTAAGCTACATAACATACTGATAATTCCTAACAAAATAATTATTTGGTCACATAAATTGAAATCATATACACATTGAAAATGAAACTGCCAAGGTTAACACATGCAGTATTTTTTCTGTGGCATCTGTGAATCGATCAATCAATCAATAAATGAAATGTAATAAAACATCTCTACTTTACCATAAATCATTTGGAGTAAATAGATTAGTCCAACCCATTTGTTTTAGGAGATAAAAAACCTCAAGTAGTCAAATAAAAGGATACGTATAAAGCTCCATGTATCTGGTACGAGCCATGCTCTGTCTTTCGTATACATGTTCAATTCCAGCTTTGAGATCATCCCAGATCTGATCAAGTCCTATTTGTTTAAGTCCATGAGGGTTTCCCTTGGAGGGGCCCGCCATTTTTCTTTTTTATCACAAGAAAACCAGTGAACAGCTGTTTTAACTTCTGCTCACTTTGATATATCACTAAAACTTCTCTACTCTTTATTAGGTAATGCTGTCAGTGCACACACTTCATCTGAAAATACAAAAATAGTCACAAGTTAAAAACAGAACTGTGAACAACTGACTGTCAATATTTCTTTCAATGGAACAAAGTACCTAAATGGCACAATTTCTATTAAATATAAAAAGGGAATATATTATATCATTTATGATTTGTTCACCATGATAGTTCATGTCAAATACACAATTGCAATATAAATCTACAATGAAAAATGAAACAAACCAAACTCACTTAGTACAGACGACCTTTTTTAATAAACTTTTCTCAATGTTTTCAAGGCTATATCTTCTAAAACAAGAACTTGGTTGTCAGAAAAGAAAAAACACCCCTATGCTCATCCATCCAGATTACTAGACAGTGCTCAAAAACAAACTAATCACAGTCACATATTACCTTCAATGGAATTGTATGCAGCGGTGAACTATATTATCTTTTTCAAATCAAAGAAAACAAAAGAAACTGTTTCATTTCCTTTTCCGAAAGCTGAATCACTGCAACGGTGTGAAAACATTTACAAAATGGCGGACCCAGACACAGTATTCAATTACAGTATTAATACGACGTTTGTGGAAAACACCTTACATTACCTGTAATAATCTTTGATACGAACATACCTTGACTCTTAATCAACAAATTGACCTGTACAGATATACCTCGTACAGTGTAGTTTTAGTGAAAATAACCCTTTACATCAACGGTATCAATGGACTAAGGAATTCTCGCCGTTTCTTATCGAACGAGATCACAAACGGGAATACAACATCCTATGACGTCATACCCAAACATTGATGACTCACAAACTCCAGATATTTACTTGTGCAGATATTTCGCAACCAAAACGTACATAAGTACACGCACTTTCTCCATTTTGTCAAATCCACCTGTGCCAGAGTAAAAAGAAGATGCCACTTTTTGGAAAGAAGAAAGACAACGAGAAAAAATCTCCGCCTCAAGGTAAACTTTTAGTGCACTTGTTGGAAACAATTGACTTCACAACCATACTCATAATTGAACTTTGGTCTTGACATTCTTCATTTCTTGTCCAAATTCCTGCAGTTTTGTCTTCTAATCTCATGAAGATTTTGTTTTTCATGCCTAAGAACTTCCAAGCAAAGCATATTCGTACATGCTAGTTTTTATAGTGTGAATTTATAGCGCCATTTAAACATTCTAGTCAGTAAAAAATTCCTTGATCATAATAATTAATATGGGTCTGGTGAAGGTTTAAATTTAACAGCTCTCAGTTACTAGATATGAAAATTTTATTTAATATACGTGAATAAATGTACTTCACTCTCAGGTTGTCTGTCACTACATGGATGTAAATTAAACAATCATTGTGTGAAGTGAGTTTAATTACCTATTTGAAGAAAGAGAAATTTTGCACTTCCTGCTTTCTTTGAGATACAAGGTACAAGTTGTTGTTCTTCAGCTTATCTTTTACCTTGGTCAAGGAATTATGTGGTACACTGCGATATAATTCCCTGCTTTGATTCAAACAGAGTTATTTATTACTAAATATCAAGTGTTAATTGTTGTTTTTTGTTTTTAGGCTACCCAACACAGCCAGCTTATCCCACACAGAGTTATCCAACACAGCCCTCCTATAACCCAACATACCAACAACAAGGTAGAGAAATGAAAAAACAGATTGGCCTGAATGAAAATGCTTGAATGTGTCAATTTTTTAACGATGACCGTTGTTGGTTTCCTTGTAACTATATAACCATATTTGAATTATGACAGCAAGCAGGGCTTGACATTAAATGTGGCCCACTGGCCCTGGGCCAGTGAAACCAACCTAGGGCCATTGAATCGATGGGGTCACTGGCCCAAAGTGCATGTAAAATATCATGTGCCAAATCATCCTTGCAATAATTACCAATATCTTGGGCCAGTGTCGAAAAAAGTTAGTGTCAAGCCCTCAGATTAATTTGGACATTATCTGTTATATGTAAGTAGGCTTGCTTTTCTAGCCTATTAGAAAACATTTAACTAGTTAAGCTAACAATTCCAGTTTCATTAAGACACACATAAACTTTATAAGCCGTTTTGTAAGTACTAGTTCATGAATTCTGAAATAGTAATTGATTGTTTCAGGTGCAGTTGGAGGTGCCCCACCACCATACACAGCAGTAAGTGGAAATTATGATTATTATATTGTTGGTAAATTTTAACTAGGTCTATTAGGTAAATTTAAAAATTATTCCATATTGCATGAGTGTTTATCTGCGTTTGATTGAAATTCACAGTCAGGAATCACCAAGTTTAAACTTTTTCTCAGATTTAAGAGATTTAACATTTGAGACTTCTTTTTTTTACAAATAAATGCCCATTTTTCTGTTACAAAATCTGATCTTACTAAAACCTTACTACCACTTTACTCAGGCACCCCCACCAGGTCATGCAGTGCAAGGTCAAGGTCAACCACCTCAATACCAGCCTCAAGGTCAAGGCCAACCAGCTCAGTACCAGCCTCAATATTACCAGCCTGCCCATGGCCAGCAGCCCATTTACCAACCACCAGCATCTATGGGACAAACTATGGTAGTCCAAGGTGGCTTTGATCCTGGTGCTAGGTTTGGGCCTGGGACAACTGCTAACATCCCAGTAAGTCTTGTTTTCATAATCTCAAAATTAGACCACTCCTTGGTATTCTGATACCATTTGTACGATGTAAAGTTTGTGTTAGGTTTTTAAGGTTGTTTTGACAGGACTTATTTTAAAACTTATTTGGATTCTTTTACTTTCAAGAATGTTTAAATAATGTTCATGAGACCTTTTGTTTTGGTTTACTTAAAATAAAATGGGAAATTTTAAGCTATAGAAAAGTAAATTTTACTTTGTCCATATTACTTAATATGGAAACTTGTCTGGCATTAATGACCTATATATATCAAATGAGGCAACTGATATGCTTCAAACTTTTAAAGGCCAGGTGGATTAGATTTGATTGAATATTCACGATGCTTTTCTGATATGCACTTTTTTCCTCTCTTATTTTAGCCACCACCTCCTGGCTGTGCCCCAAATGCTGCCCAAATGGGAGCTATACAAGGACAAAATGTGATTGTTACTCAAAGGGAAGGAAACTGGTTTTCAGGAGGCTCTGATGGGGGCTACACAGTTTGGTAAAATATATTTATAGGCATGAGGAGTGAAAAGACAAAGAAGAGGAGAGGGACAGTGAATTCAGTTTTGGCTATTTTTTAGCTTTTGTATTTTATTTTTTTATGAGGAAAAGATAGGAACTGGTGCATTTTACATAAAAAAAACTCGAAATCTCTTCGATTTGGAGATATTTCTCATCTGCAGTAAGACTGGATGTTCTGAGGTACAGTGTTTGATGGTTATGTCATCCTATAACTTATTCTGTATTATTGGCATTTCATATGCTGTACCCTTTCGAGCAGCCATTTGGCATGTCGGACAGAGTCAAATTATGTGTACCGTACTTAAGGGCCCAGTAAAAATAAGAGACTTCAATAACTGTGTTTTCATCTGTGGAATTTACACTAACTGTTCAATATGAAAAATTATGTTAACATATCAACAGGATATAGTTTTGTCTGAAACGTGATAAGAAGTGACAAACTACTCGAGCACTTACATATGTCCATCTGGTTGCATGTCAGTTATCTCTTACAACTGAAAGTAATGCACTGTAGAATTTGGTCAGTAGGTAAGAGATGGGTATTTTACCGACTTCAGAAATCGTGTAGAATGATGTCGGTGAAGAATAATGATAGATAAACTTACTCTGTGATTTTTTAAAATTATGTATGTAAATAATGATGTACGTTTGTTCAGCTCTAACAAAATATACTCGGCAAGGGAAGGCCAAGTCCAGATGATGGATTATAGATTGACTAATAGAAAAATCTAAGTGATGATTGATGAATTGATTGATTGGTCATTAATAAATAGTCTTTCACAGGTGGTAAATTTTAGTGGTACAAACTTTCAAAACGAGTGGAGGGGGAGGGGTGCAGATTGTTTTTTTAAAACTCCTCAAATATTGTTCCATCATAGTGTTGGTTTCATTGGTAAACTGACATCAATTTGGACTTCTTTGTGTATATATGTCCTATGTAAATATATATAATGTAGACAAAGAACTAAATTATATAAGGATTATTCGAGAATTAAATTTTTTACGTGTAGCTGGTAGCATCATGTATTTAATACCTGAAGTTATGTGAAAGAGACATGATGTTGGAATTAGACCTAGCATATATTTGCCATATAATATACTGTATACAGTGATGTCTTGTATTTAGATGTTCATAATAAAGATATTTTACTAGAAAAAAAGCTTTTTTAATTAATAAAAGGGTGCTGCAAAGAATTAAACAAAATCCAGGCAATCTGAGTTCTTTAATAAAGATGACCAAGAAGGAGATGAGGGAATTTCCATAAAGAAAATGTTTTCTGTATTTTGGTGTTCTGACATGTACAGACCTACTAGTACACCTTTAAAGAGGGTCACAGAAGTCGGGGAGGGATGAATTTTTTTTAAGAAGCATGCTTAGAAAGTAAAAGTTTGGGAAGACGCAGCCCGCCCCCCACACTCCCCTTCCAACACGCACACCGGTATTTGAACTGGAGTCACTCTGTTTATGCCATTCATAAACTTGAAACGAGAAATTTCAGGCGTGTCGCGCATGTGTAATATACAGATCGTGACTAGTCACCTACAGTGTGTCCAAATCTGGGTCCGTGACGTTGGTCACGTCGACCTTCACTTTTGTTTTCAAGGTGACCTTGTCAGACATTACGCAACTGCGCACGCGCAATAAGATGGATTTCCCCACTGACAAGCTATTTTTAGTATGTCTGGTTGCGGAAACGTGCTTACGTTTTCTCTGAAAAGCGGCAAGCGCGTTTATATGTTTCGTCAGCGGTGTTACACAAGGCATTTATTGAGAAGAAATCGGGACGACTAGTTTGAAGAGTGACTATACAACTAGAAAGACTCTGGTCAATATCAGAATTTTAACCGAACAGTTGGGAGAAAATTATAATTAGCCTACTATTTTAATTGCAAGATATATTTAATAGTGGGAATTAAGCAAGCGGGATGGCCGTAGCTGGATTAAGACTTATGTATCACGGCCTCACTCAGCCGGGAGTAATGTGTAAACTCACTCATCATGGTGCTGACGTCGGCGTTAGCGCAGTGAAGACGGCAGTGACGAGAACTTGGGCACTGGTAGGTTAATTGCTGTGCTTTGCTTATTCAGTGGCGGATTTAGAGGGGTGTGTGGATCAGTCGGGTCCTGACCCCCTTCGATTTCTGCCCTCTTTTGAAGGCAAGATTTTGACTAGCTGAATCATAGTTCTAAACCGTACAAAATTGGGGGGGGGGGGGGGGGGAGGGGAGGGTACGTAGGGTCTGCTTTGCATCCACGGACCCCCCCCCTTCAAATAATCCTAGATCCGCCCCTGTGATTGACTTTGTATCCAATCTGTATAGCTTGTGTAAGTTCTTGTGTTATTTTATATAGATGGCAAAGTATGCGTGTTAAGCCTTTAAATTAGGGTTGTTAATGTACACACATGGGTCAGTTTTGGTTAGAGAATAATAGCGATAATAATTGTCGGCTGCAGATTCCTGATAAACATGTTATGACGTCCATCGATCTGCATGCTTCATACGGACGCGCTGACCCGGAAACGACGGACTAGACCGTTGAGCTTGAGGTAGCTTAATTCCTCTATCCGGAATCAGAATATTTCACCTGTGCGTCATCTACGGCACCGTAGACACATATGACTCCGGAATACGGATATGACTAATATATGTATAACGACAATGAAAAAGGACGTTAAATTTGATTGAAAATCAAGAAATAGTGACATTTTATATAACACGATCTCTGCCAAATAAATACTTTTCGTGGTAACAAAAATTATGCTTTATTTTTCCGTTGTGTATGGCAGTGCAAATTACGTATCGATCGTTTGAGTTATGTACCAGTATTGACTTTGCGATAATGAAATTGTAGGCTGACGTCATTGCCAAGATGATCATAATAAATCTACTTAATGATAACGTGATAATTACATAATCATCTGGATAACGTTTCACTTATGTCATATGCATTATAAAAACGCGGAGGACAACAGCCTAATGTATCCACAATTTTTTTCTCATTATTTAAACTTACCTTTGGTAAAAGATTTATTTGTATGTAGAGCTAGAATTTGATCTCAAAGAAAATACTAAACAGATAATTTTTTTTGATATTCTTTTACAAATTATATATACGTTTCTTTTTTCCTCCAGATAAATGTTTTACCATTAAATTCGTCATGTAAGGTATTCTTTTTGTATTTTTTTTTTTTTACTTATATAGTAAATGACATATTAATTACAGCAATTTCCCAAAAGATTGAACTCCACCCAGGCATACAACTCACAGGTGAAGGAAAACTACGCAAAAGAGGCTGAGAACAAAATAAACAAAACAAACAAAATAAACGAGGTCCCACAGTTGCAAAGCATAGATCACTTCAGGTAATAGCTTAACAAAATTAGTAACTAAATATATGCATGTTGGATAACTAGTATTTAACATTGTAAATCCTGTCAATTTGCCAAATATTTAATTCAGAGAAGAAGAGATCCTATTCATTTAATTTTCCTTTTATATTTTTATAAATTAACTATGGGCCATTGGAATTTATACTCATTTTGAAACATTTGTTTCATTGTAGATCAAGTAAGGCACAAAAGCAAGGCAAAGACAATGGAGCTTATATATTACCACACCCTATATGGTATGTATGTACTAGTAGTTGCATGTAATTAGATGTCGATAAAAATTGTTCAAGGGCCTAACCCTTTATTTATTGGTTACTTAACACTGTCTCAATACTAGGAACTATATGTTAATTTATTTTTCGCATTGTCATGCTGACAAAACAGCAGCTGCTCGTGAAGATCTTGAAAGGTCAAAATGTAAATGGTATGAATTACATGAAGATAAGGGTATTTTTGGAACCCTATGAACAATATTTAACCTTAGTGTAACTGTTTTTGATTAACAAAAACCCTTACCTGATTATGTGCATGGATGATTTTCTTATCAACCCTATTATTTTAATTCCAGGAGTGAGGAAGAGCTAAATTCAGTGGAAATAACACACAGGGTGCCAGAGAATTTTACAGACAAGGTACGGACTTCGTTTGTACTTTGATAATTTTTCTTACCAACTCATATTCACTGAAGTTTTAGTGAAAGTAATCACTTACTTTGAACAAAAATTAACATTTGGGAGCCAAATATATTTATCAGTAAAGCTCTTTATTATTATTATTATTATTATTATTATTCCAGGCTGCATTTTACAGTGTGAAAATTCTACGAAACAGCTTTGACATTTTCTCTGGCTTCAACTGGAGAAAGAGATCAGAGAAACAGTGGCTGCGACGTATTATTTTCCTGGAAACTGTTGCTGGGGTACCAGGCATGATGGCTGCTATGGTGAGGCATCTGAATTCCTTGAGAAGGATGCAGCGAGATCATGGATGGATACACACACTATTAGGTACGTTGAAAACAATACATATAATGTTCTTTCTTGTCCAAAGGTAGAATTTTATTTATTTATTTATTTATTTATTTATTTATTTATTTATTTATTTATTTATTATTATTATTATTTTATTTTTTTGTGGACAATATCATGTTGATGTTTTCAGGCATGTGTATTTGTGCTAAATGTTATGGTTGACCTCTAATTATTTACGGGTTGATTTTTTTACTTTTGTCAAAGCCTCAGAGGGTTACTTTTAATCTTTATTTAATCATAATTTCTCATTACAGAAGAGGCAGAGAATGAGAGAATGCACCTTATGACAGCTCTACAGATAAGAAAACCAGGACTTGCTTTTAGAGGGTGTGTCCTTTTAGCTCAAGGTAAGTTTTCAGAAACTTTTCTCACCTCTTCTATCAGGAACATAGATTACTGGTTCATTTAGAATGGGGTCCACCTGTTAAAAACACCAGTATTTTACTCTTTTATTTGAATTAAAGTTGTACAACAGTAATGTTGGTTCCATTTTGTTGGAAAGGGCTTGGGGGCAAAAAAAATAAATAAATAAATAATTAAAGTAAAATAAGGAAATAAAATTAATGTTAAGAAAGTCTTTAATTTGTGTCTCTTTCCCCAGTCCAAAACCTCAGTAAAAGACTGAATTGTGTGACCCTGTAATGTATTCAATTGTGTGAAGATTGGATCAGCATTTATTCAGATACGGTATCTTTGATTTCTGGTATTTTTGATTTCAGGGGTCTTTGTGAACGTGTTCTTTGTGTCCTACCTAATCAGTCCATATTTCTGCCATCGGTTTGTGGGATATCTGGAGGAAGAAGCTGTGAAAACTTACACAAAATGTTTACAGGTATGGCAAGTCTCATTTCTCACAAATTACCACATCTCAACACAAGAAAACTTCAAACCTCTATCACACCTAACACAATTAGCACATCTCAACACAAGAAAATTTCAATCCACTATCACACCTAACACAATTGTCCCATCTCAACATAAATGGGTTTATAACTATTATATTACACCACACCAATCTTTTTTTATAATTTGTGATGCATAAATATGTACTCAAAAGAAAAAGGTCAAATTATGAGCAAAGCAGGTCACTGTTCCCGTTTTGTTTCAGGACATAGACAGTGGTTCTCTACCTTGGAAAAATTCACCTGCACCACCCATCGCAAAAGATTACTGGCAATTACCGGTGGGTATTTTTTTCACTCCATTCATTTTATTTTTTTTTTCTTTTTGATTTTAATTTAAAGTTAATATTAAGTGATATGTCAGTGAGATTAAAAAAAAGTAAATTACTATATTTATTTATTTTTTGAAAAAATGAGCATAAAGTGAAAAACTTGCATGAAACATTTTTCAAAAAAACATGCCTTAGAAGTTAACACTTTGATTATTCGCTTCACTTGTCTTGTTCCTATTCCAGCCAGATGCCATGATGCGTGATGTCATATTAGCCATCAGAGCAGATGAAGCACATCACCGTGTCGTGAACCACACTTTGGGCTCTTTGAAGGAGGACGAACCTAACCCATATGGACCTGGCAGATAGGGGGCAAGGTTCAAAAGAAAGACTCCTAAAAAACCAGAAGATCAAAATATGAATTGATCAAATGTAAAAAACGATCAGTGCATCTGACCTGGCACACAATACTTACATGTTTTCCACTGATGTGCAAAGCACGTGACAGAGGTTAGGTTAAGGCAGAAGAGGCCCTCTTTTCATTTTATATATCCCCAGATTGAGTCGGTGTCCTGTGATAGCTCATGGGTGTGGTGCAGATCTACCAAGTAGAACGTGGTTTGCCTTGTGTATATTTATGACCGGGGGATTTAGACTTAAAAGAACCACTTGGAAAACAGTTCAGAATTGTTGCTCATTTTAAAATATGCTGAAGCTATGACGAATGGCTTCTAATATTTTACCTCATTTCGGCACATTATGGTGCCACATCACTGCCTGTGGGGGATGGGAAGTTATTGGGAGAGGTGGGATAGTTACTCTGCTTTGATCACCTCTTGACTAACAACTTTTACCCATGGTTCTTCATGGCTTTTGTTCTGGTGCTCCCTCAAAAAAGAACTTGGACTAAGTAAAAGTGATAAATGTTCTTAATTGTGTGATACAATTTGCATTATTTTGATGTGTTACCAGGGCAGTATCGGTGGTTAAGCATAATTGTACACATTTATCTTCTCATTTTTTGCCTTGAGTTGCACTTTCTAGTGGTGACATACAGGCACGTTTTTTATATGTAGCGCTTTACAAATATTGCTCAGAATGTTTTAGAATCTCGTGTCACATTTTACATGTACAATTTTATTTATTGAGAAACTTATCAGTTATAAATATTGGTGTCGTATACAGAATATATGTTTGTGCAATTGTATTCAGAATGTGACTTGGATTCTAATTTATTAAACTTAATGGTATAAAGTCTATCTCTCTGTCTGTTATTATTATTATTATTATTATTATTATTATTATTATTATTATTTAAATAAATATTGAATAAATCATTTCCTATAAACCAGAAACATTTTGTGAAGTCATTAAATCAAGAGTGGTTTCCTTTATCATCAAAATGGAATTTCAATTCCTTAATTTTAAATACATAAATATCTTCTAGGCAAATTCTTAATGGTCCCCACCTACTCCTTCGTCACGTTTTTCGCATTTTTAAGCCTGCATGCGTGACCTCAAATTTCTTTTTCACAATTAAAGACCTTTAAAGGTTTTTCACTTGGCACGTTTGTGTTATAATCATCAACAACACATCTTGCATCATTTTGATACTTCCCATATCCCTGCACCTTTAAACAAAAATCTCAAACTTGCTTCCTGATACTTGCCACTGCCCTTTAACAATAACATATCCATCTGAAATTTAAGATGTCCACAACCACGAAAATGACTGCATGGGCATCAATTGTCTGCATAGTAATTAAGATACGTAATTTTATAGTCACAAAAATTATTTTTCTTTATAGCATTTGGGGTGCTTTTGCTTTACCGAACAGAACTACAGAGCAGCTTGCTTTTTCATTTGTCAATATCAATATTTGGATAAAGTAAAGCTCAACCACCTTCAGTGGGATTTCAAAACAAACAACAACCAAAGATTTGGGTGAAAAGAAAATTTAATCATCTCTAATTCTGTCACGAAATACATACATGTACATCATAAATGCAAGTAACAATGCCAGGCTGTTAGGACTACAAATGTATAACTGTCGATTAGTCGAAATGGATATAATCTCTGCTATCACTTCCATTACTGGGCAACCATTCCCTTCTTTATGTCAATGGACTACGCCTTGCCATTAATCCATGGAACAAGGAAGAGTCCATTTCAACACTTGAGGGGTGCACCATTAGTATAATCATGGTTGAGTATAATTATGGTTAATATTTAATACATTCATATGCACAATGGGCCACAGCTTTCATACAGGAAAACTTCCAAAAAAAGATCCCTTATTGGCCTATCCATAATATGTAAAATGGATCTCACAAATATGTCTGACTCAACGCCATTGGCAAGGAAATAACTAGTAAAACATTGCAACATTGAAATACATCTTAAATAATAACCTTCATCAAACAATTACATCCAAAAAGTAGGACCATAACATGAATATAAACCATATCTACAAACTTCACAAAACCTGCAAATGAACAGGGTCTCCAAAAGTCTTTGCATCATCACCACTCAGATTACAATGTTGCATTGATAGAATGTCTAAAATGCAAACCAGAGCTAAGCCAGTTCCAATTTTCTGTGTGCGTGTCCACAACATTTTAACACTCATTCCTTTCAATGATGCACAGACTTTTCAAGTTCCCTGTACACAAAACAAGTAAATCAGATTCCACATTAGAAATAGACAACAGTTGCAAATTCTCCAAACCCTGCAGTACAAGCAGCATCGAGGGAATTTACAGTCAAATAGACGCCATACCACACTTGATGAGGAAGCCTCACAAATGTCAGTTTAGCAAAGAGTGAACTGGGTTGGGCACCTTAAAAGCACATCCAACAGATGATTTCCTAATCTTGTCAGTTAAACGTGTGGATTGTTCATTTAATGACTACATGTTTTGGCAATTTGGGCCCTTGTGGCTGGTTATGCTTGGAAGAGTTAGAATGGTCTTCTCTTTCTTATAAAACAAATCCATCCGGCTAACTACATCTTGTACTCAACCCTATTTTATAATTCCATTTCAACTCTGGCAAATCAATGTATAATTTTGTAATTAACTATTCTATCAAATAAGTCCAAATCACACCGGGGAGAAAAAGAGTAATACACAGAGCACTTTCCTCCTATTCAATCCTCAAGATAGTCATTAATTCACTCCTCTTACTCTAAACAGCTGTTCTACTTGTGATCTCTGGTGTGCAAGAGCTTTATAAGTTCATATAAGTGAATATCATTAACAAAAGAGACTTAAATGCATCACAACACACAATCTGCCTTTCATCAGCACGGCTCATATTTGATTAACAGACAGTGAACAAACTTAGTTGTTATTCCTACTTCTATTCAGTACAGAGTAGACATTCATTCGAGAGGATTAGTATGGTCCTATAATGTCTAATAATGTCTACAACAACAACACACGGGGTCATGCCCTTGGCAGACAGAGGTAGTACTCAGTCCAATTGACGTCTTGAATGAAATATAGATGTCACCGTGAGAATGACAGTTCAACATGAGCTCACAGTTGTGCACTCTTAAGTCTAAGTAGATCGTCAACAGTGCATTAAAACCATGTCATCTGTGGGACTGATGTGCTCCTCGTCTGCCAAGGGCTCAAAGGTTAGGACACTTTGTCAAAGCGGCCGATCAAAATACAGTGGATATAATGGTCGCACAAAGAAGAATCAAGAGGAAGAACATTATCATACTGGAAATTCTTCATGTGAACAGAAACCTTAGAAAAAGTTAGATTCAGAAAATAAGAAAAAGTTGAATTCAGAAAATACATGGGACTTAACTGCAGAATAGGTAAACTGTGAAAATTGAAGAAGGTAGCCAAATGAACCAGAGTGATTGCAATCAAGTAAAGGTACCGATGAACAATTTTCCTGACATGTGCATACTGTTCTCTTACACTGGAGAGCAGCCGTCTGGAGACACTGGCTAAGACCCACCACACGGAGGCTGCAAAAGCCCAGCAGAAATCAGACAGGTGTGCTCCAATTTGAGAGATGACTTTGTCTACACAGGGTATAGGACACCTGGCAATCTCTGACAGTAACTGTTTATAGCCATTACTATGTAAATTCAAATCCAAATCTGGTGTAGTATCATCCTCCCCTTGATTGGAGGAAATAGTATTTCTGCAGTCTATTATACTATAATAATTGTTAGTGTAAGTAGCTCTTGGTGTGTACTGTGCACTCTGAACGTTGCGTCTCCGTTCTAGTAGTAGGTTTCTTGTTCTATGAATCCCCCTGGGCTTCGACGCATGAAAAAACGACGAGCTTCGTCGTAGATCCAGATGGCGGCGCTGAAAGGGAATGCTGGGAGCCACCACATGAAGCTGAAATCAGAAAGAAAAAGTTTCAAAAGTAAAGCCAGAAAATAAATGCATCCTATAAATTATTATTTAAAAGGACTCTGTGAATATTTGTAGTGTTTATTTCCAAATCCTGTATATGGTACCCTAAGAACTATTTCAACTCTAATATTCCTCATCATCAATATTAGTCAACAAGAGAAAACACATCAAACCCATGTCTAGAAAGTTAAACTTACTAAGTGAAGAAGGTAAAACCATATAAGACCCACATCTAAAACATTACTTACCGAAGGGGGAACATGCGTAAACCCTTGTCTAAACCCGGACAATAGCTGAGGAAAGCGGCGAGGCAGGTCTCGAAGAAAAGGGCAAACGTCATGTAATGGTTGCTGTAAAAAAGAAAAGCAAGATATCAGTATTAGATATTTATTACAATGTATATGTACAAAATATATTCACTGTTTTGAAAATGATAATTTTAAATTAAAAAAAAAATTATCAGATATTTCCACAAGCCACTTTTGACATTTGAAACAATTCTTGTCACACAGTGTTCAAATTAAAAATTACTAAAATATTAAAAAATTAAATATTATTATTTTTTAACAACTATCTATGGCCTGGCACATCCTACACATCCCAATATCTTCCAACACCCCAGCCACTTGCACTCACCTCATGCCTTGTTCCACGATGGAGTTTCTCCTGGTTTTACAGATGATCAGATCAGCCCACTGCACTATGACAATGGTGATGAAGAAAGCAGTGTGGCACGTGTACTCCAGCATCTTCCTCTGGGCGTAGGTCTGAACAGTGAAAAAAAATGTGAAATATCAAAAAACCTAAGAATTATGGCATACATATAGCAATGAAGTATAATTTCTTCCATAACCCATATACAACAAACAATGCCATGAATGGCATAAGTCTAGACTGTTGAAGAACTCCTTCAGGTAACCTAGAAGAAAATAGCACATTCTAGCAATATGTAATCTGGCACACAACCCATGCAAAATGGCACAGGTATGTACATAAGATGATTTCAAATCAACAGAAATGCAAAGAATTTATTTACTCTTTGCCAGACACACATGCAAGGCAACACAATGCAATGCCTCAAAAGACATCCTATATTTTCAATGACAGCTGGATGGCTGGTGAAATTTTTTGGGGAATAACAGTATATTTGTAGTTAAACTCTCTGTTAATGGGTAACCAAATTACAGATCAACATTTTGGACTCTCAATCCTGGGGAAGTCCTCGATCACAATGAACTTAAAAGGTGTCACTGACCCATTCCTGTCCATAGGAGTCCTCCAGGTCATTGATGCTCTTGGAGTCCCACTCCTTACGGATGCCAATCAGGTGGTTGGGCCAGAACCCATTCTCTCCCATGATGACAAAGTAGGTGAAGAAGCCAGCTGAGGCCTGCATCATACCAATCTGACCATAGGCCATACTGATCAACCTGAGAAATAATGGGACATTTTTTTTTTGTTAAATGCTGGTCCATACTGTTTCATATCTATAATTCAATGTCCACAATATATTTATTTTGTATTATTAATCGTAAGTCTATTTTTTTCAAACATAATTCATCATTATCTTTTTAACTATTTTTACATGGCTATCCACAATGTATTCCCCTTATCAAGTCTATTCATAATCTTCTCTCTTTTTTTATTCTCCATTATTAATGTCAATACCCCTATTTTCAAACCCCTATGAATGACCTGAGAGAAAAGAAAACCTTTGATTCTGCCAAAATGACATTGAACAAACCTCACCTCTGGTTGACAAGCTTGTCGTGCTTGGGATCACGAGGCTGACGTTTCATGATGTCACTCTCTGCTTTCTCGTAGGCAAGGGAGATAGCTGGCACCTGAAAGGGAGGAATGAATACTTTTTTTAAAGGGG